AGATACAATGATGTTAAAATTACTTTTTTTTTTTTTTTTTTTTAAGTGTTTTTAAAATGCATAATAGGTGGGAAAGAAATAGTATTGATAAAGACTATGAGCAGATACAAACAGAAAAGTAGAATTAGCAACACTATGCAAAGTTCTGTCATAATAGCATTATTACAATTGCAAAACTAAGAGAGTATGTTTCCTTACTGTAATACACAGCCTAACTTAAGCTGGCTATCCAACCCGTAACATTCTAAGAATCCTAACATTTCATGAAACATAATATAAAGCACGTTCCAATAATGTTTTCTTCATTAGCTATTCTTGACATTAGGCTGGGAAGAGAAATGATGTATTTCATCATAATAAAGGTCCTTTCTACAGATTATCAGTCTCAGTGAGATTCCTATCACAACATTTTATTACTATAGCATACATTTATCAAAGTGAAAGATAACTCGCTCCACACCTTCCCTATAATTACCCCATAACATTAAAGTCATTTAAGACAAGATTTCCCACTATAATAGCAATACAGGAAAACTCTGTGTAGCACTACCAAAATAATTATCAGTTATTCAAATTATGCTCAGCAAATGCTCAATCTCTCTTCCGAGAGATACATAGGATGTATAGGATGTTCAAACTTGAAAACAGGAAAGTAACACTCTCAAACAATAGCATTTACCATTCATTAAAATGCTGAAATTGCTTTGTCAGTAGGAATAAAAACACTTCATGTACTGAATGGTAAAAACAAAAATTCATGTTCACACTTTTGAGCAAATTCTTTATTGACTGGGAAGAAATAGCAATTTAAACAGTGGAAGAATCATTTACTTCAGCATTTCACTGTTCAGCAAACAGCTACAGTAAGCCTGGTATAAGATGAAGAGCCAGTATAAGAATTACTATAATGGAGTGCCCATGTACAGATACCCAGGTATAACAACCTAAGTCTGGTTATTTCAGCTGCTTTCTGAAATTAATAATTTTAATTAAAATCATCAAGAACCTACCACCCACCGCAAGCCAGTTACAGGCTTGTTTCATATCCAAAGACAAGGCAGAGCTTCACAGTTGAAAAGCAGTGTGGTGCTACAGGATACAACACCAAAAACAAAAACATGGTTGTCCACAAAAATCACCCTAAGAACAGAAATGGAGTGTAAGATGCATTAGAAGGGTACATACTTGATGTAATCATGTGTCGTGCAGCAAGTTTCTCCTTGATCAGGCAGCACGAAGTACTTTAAAGATCAAAAGAAAGGCAGAAGAGAAAAAAATACAATAATTCCTACCCTTCCATTTTAAGGCCAAAGTTTTCTGCGTTTCATCCCAATATATCAAACAAGTCTAAAAAGAATGTACTTAAAGAGAACTCTTATCAGGAGTTCTGTCCACCCCCAGAGTCAAATATCAACACTCAGAGGCAAGGAAAGGATGGCATGCACTCCTAGGCTGCTTTGCAATTCACAATCAGGGCTTGCAATACCTTCCTCTTTTTCTGCATTTCTGCCTTGCTTTTGGTGCCTATTATCACGTACTCAGATGTATTGTCAACATCATACACTGCCTGCCTTGTAGAACCAACTGCCACTAAATCCAGTGGATTCTGGATACATTTTATTGCACTTTTCTTTATATTTGCTTTAAAAAAAAAAAAAAAAAAAAGGAGTTGAAGATTATTAGATTCTTACCATAACAAATACCACACAAACAAAATGCTTTTTTTTTTTTTTAATGACACAGCATGAAACATTCAGAGTGAACATATGATTCAAAATGAAGAATTAAGGATTTAGTCTGCCAGCTAAAGTATACCAAAAAACAAAAACAAACAAAAAACCCTAAAGTAACAGCTTTCTCTTAAATTTAAAAGAATCTGTGGTGTTCAGTTAGTTCACATAGTCAGTAACTCAGCAGAGCAGCAGTAATCACCTTTGGGTGCATTCCCACAGCTCCCTGCCTGTGGGAAAATAGAAGATGTATCACACAGACTCTCTCTCTCTTTCAGAACTTGCTGGTTACTTCTACACACATGCACACACACACACACACACTCTTCTGTTCCTGGTGGTGAATGACAGCTTAGATCCTTGCCCTGTTTTTTTTTTTTATTTTATATACAGTTCATATACAACTCTAACTTGATGCATTTATATTGCTCTTAGAAAACTAAAAACTTGATGAAGGAAAAAAAGCCAAGGGTCACAAGTAACTTCAAGATTAAATTTCCTTCAACACTTTCACATGGGCATGCTTAAAAACCATTCAGCTTATTACAAGCAGATACAATAAATTCAGTTTGGTTTCCTGGCCCACATTGCACAAGCTGTAGTTTCACTCAGGAGCGCTCTGAGGCCTGCAGATATCTTCTGGTTGTGAGACAGCAGAACAGCATTAGTTGATTTCAACTCATGTAAGAAAAATAAAATTCCTTTTGCCTTTTGTGCTGTATTATAATGCCTTAGAGAAGAACAGAATAGTGCTTCAGAGGGGAACTTTAGAGAGACAGCATCATCAAATCCAGCCCGCAGGAGTGCTTTACAAGAAAACCCTGTATTTGAAAAAGGGGAAAGCAGAGTGCAGAACTGGCTGTTGCCCAAGGACCTTGCGAAGCAGGAAGGCACAGCACTGCTAAACAGGGCCAGAGGAAAACCGGACAGGAAATATCACAGGACATGCTGAACTGATTTTATTTTCTTATTGTGAAACATGAAAAATACTGTCTGAGGCAGTCAGGCAGCTCAGAGGACAGGTAGAGCAAAAATATTTGTGAAACAGAATTAAACATCACTTTCCAAAAGAGGTTTTGTCGCTTTCTTTTCCTTTCTGAGAGGAAAAAAACAAACAAACAAAACACTAGAAGAGAAGCACGAATCTGTGAAATCATCCTCCCTGTTCCACAGTACCATCTGAATGTGTGGCAGCCTATGGCCATACCCCTTACTGCAGACAGATCGATGCACTAACTGCTTCTGTGACGTATTCAATTCACTATTTTATCTACAACTGAAAGCTGGCAAGAAAGTGACAGCACAGCCTTGAAAGAAGCACAAAAGTGAATAAAGAAAGAGCATACAAGCACATAATGTGCTAAAGACAGATAAAATTACTGGTTAGGATTACAGCTTGAAGAAACAACAGCCTGAACTGAAGATGAACGTGCTGAAGTAGAAAACAGTGGTAAGGCCAAACTCCACAAAAAGGGCATGGCTCAATTGGAAGTTTGGTCCTTCAAAGCTCTAATGTCATCAAGAATTAAGCCACAATTTAATAACAGAATTCCTGCATAAAATCTTATTTTTCATATGTTGCTTCCTCACCTGCTGACAACCCATACAGCAGCATACCACTGGCACATGGCACAGGAACAGACCAAAAAAAATGGTGACATTGAAAAAGAATATTTTAATTTCTGCCTTCATAAACTTTAAGCTGAACATAAAAAGGGAACTCAAAAGTTGTCAACAGAAGCCAGCTTTAAAATTAATTACAAGAGAAAGAAATGCTACCTACATATCACAAAGACAGCTCACTACAAAACCACAAAATCAGTTTTCAGCTCTAGACCGTTAATTAGGATTGCACTCAGGAATTAAAAGTATAACATCAAAGCACTAAACATCACACATGACATGATAAATCCCATAAGATCACCACTGTCAGTACAAGTAGTGGGATTTCACTTGAGTTAAGTATTTTGTTACAGCCACTAAACTGCAAACATTTATTGTCTTGTGCATGTTAAGATGTTGTAATGGCATTCAGGCTCATTAAAACTCAAAAGCACAGTCCTGAAGTCAAGTGCACTGAGCAGAACAAAAACAGCAGGGGGATAGGAAAGCTGCAATTAATGCTGCAGGTCATGTTAAAAAAAAAAAAAAAAAAAAAAAAAAAAGCAGGAAAAAAATGCTTTTAAGATACACTTTTCTCTTTTCCTTTCTACCTATTGCTCACACTAAAACAAGTTATAGACTCAAGAGAATTTTGATTCCCACTGAAGTTTCAGAAGTGGGTGGAGTGAAAAACCTGGAGTAGACAACTCATCTCCACCTTAAGCAACCCTCTACAGTGCAAGGGAAGGTATATACTTGCTAAGTTACTTGCAGAAGTTATTCCGAAATTCTCTTGCTGGCACCTTCCTTCTTCTCAACACCATCCTGTGTTTTACAGCACCACCTTGAATCACTTGGGATTTTTTATTGTTTTTTAAACATGTAGAACTGGTTTTGAACTGATGTATGGAAATACAACTCCCGAAGGCAATATAAGCTTAAATAAGGTATTTGGATTTATATTTATAAGGAATGAGAAGCACTGAAAAGGCAGAGTCCTGGGGCAGGCAGTTCAGCCAAATTTCATCTCCAGTTAATTTGTAATGAATGGTGAGTCACTGAAATGCTTTTTTTTTTTTCTTTTTTTTTTAACCAAATGCTCCATAGCTGTATGCTGATGAGATCTCATGCAAAGCTCTTGGTTTTTTTCCTTTTTAGTTTCCCTTTTATTTCCAAGAGATCTGCTGCTATATGTGGCATAGGAGTTTCAAACATTTTAGAATAATGTGCTGAAAGATATAGTAGAATAACACTAACCATAGAAACATCTGTTTTTATTTCTTATTCAGAGTTTTAGTTAGACACCATCCCTCCTTATGTCAAAGGTACACAGGCAGTGGCAGCTGCTGCTGCGTGCCAGCTTATTTCCAAAGAAGACTGAACGATGCTATCCTTCCAGATGCCAATTTCTCTAAAAAATTCTTAAAGCAAAGCACGGCAGCCAACTACTACATTTCATGCAACAGTTCACCAGCTTCTGTTTGGCACACAAAACTAAGTCTATCATTCTCTTACAGGAGGGATGTAGAGGCTAACAGCACTTTAAAAAATACTATGGAGGAAGATGTACCACCAATTGCTGAGTAGCTGTTTTCCATTCTTCCATGACAAACTTTTTGTTTGTAGAAAGATTTATTTATATGTTAAAAAAGAACCAAAGGAGTTAAATAAATATACCAAAAAGAAGAAAAAAAAACAACAAAAAATGACAGCTAGCAAAGAGCAAGTCCATAGATTAGCACAGTTCTCTTTTCTACCAGCATTGCCCATGCTTGCACAAAGAAAGTTGTTTTCACATGCTGCATATATGTGTGTGTATATATATATATAATTAATAAATATTTTACTAACATTATGGAAAGCTGGTGGAAGTTACCTCCTCAGAAAGTAGCAGTGAAAAAAACAGCTTGTGCAAATCTTATTACAATGCCACTAGGAATCAGGACTGTCAGAAGAGAAAAGTACCAAAACTTCCTTTGCCATTCCATTTGAACTGATTGCCCACAATAGAAACAAACATCTCCTGTGACATTAAGTTGTCGTCAGCTTCTGTGATTCCCAGTTCACTCAGCCTTTTCCTGTGCATCTGACTCTTCTTTGCAGAAGCAGCACCAAGTTCACTTACAATTTCATGATTGCCTTCAGAAATCTCAGCTTGCTTATAAAGCTCCAATTCATCAGCTACACACTCAGGTAGTTGTTCTTGTCTGAAGCCCTCTACATGTGCTCTCTCATCACTTGACTGGGTAGACTGTGCATCCCCTAGATCAGGGAACAATGAGAACATCATTGCCAAGCATGCAAAATATCCAAATCAGTTAAAACTACCAGAATGAAGTCTTCTTCAATTGTAACATTTGCATACCCCACACATTTGGGTAGTTGTTTAGTGACAACCATACATGTCAAATACAGCATATGAAAAGGTTTCCTCTCAAAAGGACTTCAAGCTACCAAGTAACAGTGATATTAGACTGTGTTTACATACCATACTTGCGACTGGCAGTTCTCAAATAAGACATATGAAGAGAAATACAATTGTCACATTTTATTTACTGCAGAAAACAACAACTGTGCTGCAAGACTGTGCTAACCAGCACGTCTCAGCTCTAGTGCTGAAAGGAAAAATGGAGCAGAGAACTAAGAACCAGAAGAGCTATAACAGAAGTCACATCTGCTTTCTTGCTGATCAACACTCTTGTTTCTGTAAGATTGAGGTAGTTATACAGGCTTTGCTTAGTGGGAAGTATAGATTAGATGCTTAAGGACTTAAAAAAAAAAATAATCTAAGTGTACACATAGCACAGAGCACAGATATTTACAGTATTTACCTGCAGGAAGTCTAATTCAGGAAATTTCATTGTTCTGATAGTTACAGAGATACATTCCAACTAAATCAAAACAGACATTGTAAGAAGTTTTTGAAAGACTCACTTCCTAGTTATGGAATTCAAAAAAACTTGTGTACACTAGGCTTAAGCGTTTTTGTTTCTTTTTTTATTATTTACTTCTATGAAGTGAGAGAAAGATACCTGTTGTTCCTTCTGCTGAAGCATCCTTTACATCAGAAGCAACAGTTGGTTTTACCAGGACCACACCATATCCTTCATTATTATGGATCACATTATTGGCCATGCTTATTTTGGGGATGTCATAATGTTCATCTAAGAAATTCTATAGAAAGGAAATAGAAATCCAACTTGTTATGTCCACCCAATGGGATGCAAATCATTTCACTTTTAGACAGAATTAGCTCTCTGCATTGGCTAGAATGTTTTCAGTGTATGCAAGTAATACTGCAAAAGATCTCTTTCTGGCAAATAAGAAACAAAACATTGCTTCATTGTACCAACCCAAGGCAAACAAGTACCACCATCATAAGTTGTAATACATAAGAGTTCCACTATCAGAAAGCATGGTTATAAGTCAAGCTAAACACAAGTTATCTGCACCAATTCTGACAGCTATAAGTTTGTGTGCTATTAAGTTGAAGAAAAAAGTGCATTCTGCCTTCAACTGACCTTTATGAGTATTCCCTCCTTGCAGTGGTGTATGCCGTTGTCCAACAAGGTGCACGTACTACCTGGGTATATTTCCACACCAGCACCCTACGAGACAAAACCCACTGCAGTTCACAAATAGTTCAGGAATGCTGACAATTTGGCATGACATCTCCATGGTTGATCTTGGTGCTCATTCATTTATCTGCACCACTCCAGCTGTGAAGCTTCACAGCTCTGTTAACTTGAACAGCAGTATCAAACATGGAAGTCCCACAAGTAATGCTACTGTTGCTAGTCTATAAAATTACTAGCAAAGAACGACTATGCATCCTTTTATTGCTTTCTTGCTCTTTAGACATCCACCTCAACATTCAAAGCCCTATCATCCTCCCAAGTGTGCTAATAGGAGTTCAATTCTGTCAGAAGGATATCATATCATATCTGTCAGAAGGATAAGGTCACTTAATTTGCCAAACTAGGATTAATGAGTTATTTATAGGCAGGGGGAAAAAAAAACCAACACAGAAAATCACCTTAAAGATACAGCAGGACATGAATCAGTTCAACAATGCAGTAATCACTGTTTCATAGATAGCCCCTGCACGAGATACTTCATTGGGTACTACTGAAGACCATAAGATCCCTGGGAACAATCTCTTAATGTAACACACAGATGTTCAAGATAACCTGTAAAGATTCTCACAAGAGGGAAAGAAACCACCCCTTCACTGAGAGTATCCCTGCCTAGTACAACTCTATTGAAATTTATAAACAAATTTTTAACTGGCTATTTCCTACCTTGGCACCATACAGATCTGAGTTCTTCATTAATAGTTCAGCTGAAGTTCGTACAGTTATGCCTGTAGTTTCACACTGTAATACACAATTCTCTAAAGTTGTTTTCCCTTGATGAACATCTACATACACACACACACACACAACAAACACTGTTAAATGAATCATACATGCAAAAGCAAACCTACAGGTAGATAGATTCACAATATTTTTTACAGTATGTCAAAATGACCATTTAAATAACATCTTATGCAAGTTTTACTGATTTGCTCAGGCATAGTTTGAGCTCATGGTATTTTGTCAGGATAAGCAGGTACACTACAAATGAGCACTAATCAAAGGATTTGCCTTGAAGTTTTTTTTTTGTTTGGTTAGTCACTGTTTGTTTTTCTAGTGCCAGCAGTTTTTTTTTTTGTTTTTTTTTTAACCTTCTAAAAAGTCTTTTGTATTAATAAGTTATTAGATACATATATACAGGTGTTAACAAAACATGTTTTAAAACAAATGCTTGCCAAGGCTAAGTATTAATTAATACCTTCTACAAAGAGAAACAGCCATGGCCAAACTCAATGGATACAATTTGGGATTCTCTGAGTTTCAGTTTAAGTGTGCTGTCAGAAAACAAAGGTCTGTGCTACTTCTGAAGTCCATATCAACCCTCAGCAAAGAGCTGTCAAGTGTTGGGAGTTCTTTGTAGCATGAGAAATTATTTCCTTTTCCACGCAGCCTGACACACTGAAACCTGACCTACTGCTGCAAAACCCAAGAGCAGAGAGGTCAAGTTATCTCATCCAAGGTTATCTTACCCAAAAGTTAAGCCTGAGTGCTACAACAGCTTGAAAGTTAAAACCAGTAAGCTCTGTGTACTGGATTCATTTAAAAAAATGAAAAGAAAGTCACAGAAGACTCATAAGAACATTAAAGTGGTTTTATACTTACTTAAAATCCCTTCCACAGCATCATGTTGCACCAACTTCAAATTGGAGATCTTTATATTGGCTCCTGTACAGTCCACGAAGTTGTCTCCTTTCCCTTGCTTTTCTATCACAATGTCATCTGGCAGGCCATAGCCTTAAAGCAGGGGTGAAAGTTTGATGAGCAACTGGTAACAATCACAGGCAGATATTCACATCAAATAAGAGGATTTAGAACTTGAGGTTCGATAATCTCAAATAGTTTTCTACCCATTGGCCAAGCCTCAACTTACACCCTTCTGCACTACAGTCCAATGAATTAAATCACCCAGAATTCCAAATCACCCTCTTTGAATGACACCAAATGCCAAATTATTTTTGCCAGTTGAACAGATGTGTAACAGAGATCACATTCACTGAGATCCAAGTCCTCACTCCCCAAGGCTGCAATACTCTGGAGGGAGGTACAGTAACAAAGGCCACATGAGAACCTGCAGTTGGCTTTCAAAACGGATGAGCACAGCAGAGCAAGCTGGGGCTCTGAGGAAGCAGTCACTACCACAGTGCAAGGAAACAAAAGGAATTCATGCTATAGTCCTAAGTTTCACTCAGCTTTACTGTTTGAATGAAACCTGGGTCAAAACACGTTCCTGTGTTATGTGTTATATGGACTTCCAGATTAAAAAGGAACTTTCAAAAGCCTATGCCACCACTGATTTACTAAAGCCATCCACACTTGTCAGCATTCAAACACCCAAAGGGAAATTTATGAGCATGTAAAGCTTCTATTGCTTGTCACTGGCAAGAATCATGATAAGGAAAGCAATAATGCAACATCTATTAAAGCAGTATGAGTCCTATCATTTTCTGAACACGCAAAAAAGCTTAGATAAGAAGTGCCCATACAGGATGCTAGCTTTTAACCAAGTACATAAATAAATAATGTGCAAGTAGAAAGGTTGAAAAAAAGCTTCTGAACAAGAGCTGAGAGAAAGTTTTAGAGACAGCAACTGAAGGCAGTTTGGTGATACTTCAGCACACTACAATAGCTAGTAATCTTTTTCTATGGTTCCTGGAGAGGAGGTAGCAAGGGGCAGTTTACTTCAGTATGGAAAGAAAGTGCACCCTGGGACTTCAAGAGGCAGATCCTGTTTAGCTATATACCCCAAAGAATGAGGTTGTTTATCATTCATGGCAAGAGTTTTAAGAAAAATTGTCCAAACTACCCAAAGATCTTCTAACCAAGCTTTTCGCCTGCCTCACCTACAAAGCAGCAGCTCTAGCAGTAAAGAAGCTGTTTAAAAGATAAGGAATAGAGAGAAATTGATTCACCTGCCATCAAGCACTGTTCAATACATAGCTAGCTCAAGGTTGTACACCCTGTTAAGCAACTTTACAGGAGCTAACAGCAACTGTCATCCCATAACTCTGATCACAGGTATTAGGATCGATGTTCAGCTTCTCTTCCAACTTCAACTATTGTACAAGCTGCAAAGTTATTTGGTACCTTTGCTGCATACCTTCACCAAGTGATTAAGTTGTCCTTAATATAATTTCCTGTGTTACAGCTTTAACCTTCCCCAGTCCTCTGAAGTATTTCTTTTCCTCACACTTTCAACCACAGCACTGGTTTGCACATGCATGGAAAAAAATACCACCACTACTAAGCAAAGCAATATCATATCTTTGATGAGTCACAACTTCATTGCAGCTATATCCAGCCACTCAGATTAGTGCCAGCAACTTCTTTCTTGATGCTCCTACTTCAAATGTTTTCAGCTGCTATTACTGCTATAAAAACTTCTTTAACAGAAGTCCATATAAGAAGATTAAGTACCCTGACATATTCATTATTCAGAGTGCAGTTTGTACTAAAGACACATTTACATGCCTTGCTTCTTAATATAGCATACCTCATTCTTTAATGGGAGTGCTATTTCACCATTTGCATTACTGTTTCCTCAAAAGTATGAGAGAAGTTGTCATAAACTCCAGTCCACACAATTTTAGAACAAATCAATTTTTGCAAGCAAATCAAGCAGTTTGAAGTCCTTTAACCACCACTGTCCACCAGCACACAACTCTATATAAATCATACAAGAGAAGAGCAAAAGAGAAAGTGATATTCATAAGAGAAGGGCAAGGAAAATACAGTCCCAAGCAGCAGGAAATTAAATTCCCAGCCTTTCCCATAATGAAGTTTTGACAAGATAAAACTACAGCCGAAGAAGAACATGAACAGCTGCACAAGCCCCGGTGATACACAGACTATTACGTTACAGCAGCATGCAAGCCTGAAGCAGAGAAATTGCACTGGGAAACTAAGAATTATGAGGAAAAGACAGTAGCATAACCTAGACAATGCAGGAGTATTTGAAACAAATACTTGGAGAGAAAAATAGAATCACATATGGTGTGTCCACTTCTACAGAACAGAGACTAAATCAATAGCTCTTTCTATCTAGGTACATCACATAATGCACAGATTTACATCAGCAGCCCATACGCACAGCTGGCACAACAAATACCATAAACTGAGTTGACAGAACTTGGCTTTTTCCCCTCTGTATTGATGAGTGCTATCTGGCAGTGAGTCTCAGACCACCTCTATGAAGTGCATTAGGTCTGTGAGAATGCAAAGGACAACAAGAACCTCCACTAAGTACTCAAAATGAAGCTTCTCAGAATGATCTATGCTTGTCAGATGTAAAAACATACAATCGTGTTTCTGCTGGATACAGATACAGGTACAAAATCTAGATCCATAGGTAACAGTACTAGATGTAGTACCTATATAATTCAGTCAAACAGAAGAAAACAGCAAATTCACTATTCATCAGCAAAACTTTAAGCTTATTTGCAGGAATAACTGTTGTTAATAGAACACCATACACCACAGGCAGCCCTACAAGCAGAAACAGGAAAGTACTCCAAAGTAAAAAGCAAATACCCAAGTCAAGCTTCTCCAAATTAAAAAAAAAAAAAATCTTTGTGCATAGCTAGTTTAGGACCCTGGACTCTCTCAGCAAGCTTTCTACCTTCCATTTCAATAGAATCAGCAATGCAGAACACGCCATCCACAACATAATGACCAGGACAGATGATGACTGTGTCTCCTTCATAACAAGCATTTACAGCTGCCAGCGGATCATTGTGGAACTGTAAGAGACAAACAACATAATCAACTCCTGAAAAAATGCTATAAAATAGGCATATTTATGCCCTTAAATTTGTTCTTTAATTAAACGTTGCTGCCTTTGCCTGAAAGAAATCCTTTATAACGGCACCAGTAACAGGCCGTTTCTACTTGGAATTCCACAATCATAGCACTCTAGACAAAAACAGCCTTAAAGCATTCCTTTGTGTTACGTCCATCCCATGAGAAATCTGGGGCAGTGGCAGACTGAAGAGGATATGCACTGGAAAGCAGGTTTCAGTATGGCCTGGGTTTCAGGCCAACATGTGAATTCTGTTTCAAGTGACTTGCCATGAATTACATGAAGCAGCACATAGCAGACGGGAAAGAAAAGTCAATAAAAACAAAGAACTCAGCAATAAGATTTGAGTCGGTCCAAACATGCTGAACCCTATTTCTAAGCAAGTCACTCCAGAACAGAGTTCAGACATCACAGTGGCAAATAGTAGGTCCTCATGGTTCTTTTCCCTAAAAAAAAGACCTCAGTACCTGAAAAGTGCAGGCTGATATCCTCTGAGCAATTCCACATAACAGGAAACAAATAGTACAGAAAAACTTCGAGTTTATTGCGTCCTGGCAAATTCTAGGGCAAGCACTGTGAAAATTACTCAACTGCCAAGTGAGAAAATCTGATTTATATCCCCAGAGTTAATAGGGAATGCTCTGTTTGGGTCTGCTTTGCCCACCTGCAATTCATGAACATGATTAGAATACAGTAAGCAATTTCATTTGGGCCCAAGGACTACAGACTATTCTGTTTGACAGACTATGCTGAAGTGCTAAAAATCCTAGCTGAAGTCACTAAATAATTGCTCTAAATAAGTTTCCTAAGCAAGTTTCCTATGCAGAACCATAGCAATAGAATGGCATTTCCTTCTTGAAACCTTAAATTGTTATCAGCAACTCAAAATACAGAGCTATCTAATATTAGAGTATTACTCCTTTGCACATTTATTACAGGTTTATTTCTTACACGTTGGAAGGAAACTGCTCACACAGATTACTCAGCAAACAAATTAAGAGAAATTACTTGCAACTTTGTCTTATTAAATTACAGTGGTGTTTTCAGACTCAAAAATGGTACTGTACAAGTGTATCGTCTTTCATGTACACGATTCTTTTGTATTGTTTCTTGAGTAGACAAAATCATGGGTGAGCAGGGAATTGCTGTTACTTTACCTGTATTTCTAGTTCTTCACCACAAGACTCAGGGCAAAGTCTGTCCCTTATCAAAGACTGCAAGAGACTCGCCATCACAGTTGCGGACACAACATGAGTGATCTTGATACCTGTTGGTCTCTGCCCTTTAGCTTGGAGACCACTGTATTTTTGGTAACCAAATACATACCTAGAACAAGGAACAAAGCCTTCAGTGAAGAACATTCTACACATGGTTTCCCCATCAGGGCTCCCCTTCCATTAAACCCGCTAAGTACCTCAGCAGAGGATTCTCAATTAGTTTTAGTTTTTGTTTCAAGTGCTCTATTTTCTCATACAACTTTAATCCCTCCACCATGGAGACATTTTCCATTTCAGAGTCTGAATCACTGCTTGATATGTTGTTCCTCACATTTAAAAACTTCCTGTAGAGCTCTTCACATTGAGACAAGTAGCTGTGGTAATCAGCAACAAGACCAGAAGGCACACGGTGCTCGAGGATGTCATAATGCCTGCAATTCAGAGCCAGAGATCAGCATACTTTCATTTCCAATTTTGAAAGATCAAATACAAACCCAGAGAGAATCTGAGACGCCCTGTATTAGTACTGAAGTTAAAATTCTTTGCAGTCTGCATCAAACCAAAACCCTCAGAACATACAAATATTTACTTACTTCTCTAAATGATCTCTCATGGCATATAGGTAACAATTATATGAAACATATTCTAAAAGAAATGGTACAGTTACAAAAAAAAAAAAAAGCAACTCCTAAATCCATTAGAAATCAAAATTAGCCTACTTCTCAAGCATTTATTGGAAAGCCTGAGAAAGCTATGTCTAAACAACAAGAATAAGCCCATAATGTGAAGTGTGTATCAGCAGCAACCTAAACAATAACCTGGACAAAATCCCAGAAACAAATAAGGCAGTATCTGCACGAGATGAAGATGTGAAAGTACTGCACAGGAAATTTTGTGTCACCCCAGAAGTATCTTCTACAAATGAAATTACAGGGTAGAAAATGCCAGCCTGAAGTTGCGTTAAGATTAAGATATTTGCCAACTAGACAGTGCCACGCAGTCACATAGAACTTATCACAGTCACTAAAAAAGAAAAAGAAATGCTGGACAATAATTAATAACATGAAACAAAACAAGACTTAATATTTTCATTTTTGTAGAGAACCAACTTAACACAGCATAAATAACTCTGCTGAAGAGGCGGAATGAAATAAGGGCAAATCTTCAAAGTTCAAAAGATTATTTTTAAGTGGTGCATTTAATTCAGAAAAGAGCAAGAAAAAAAAACTATAATCAGAGAAGTAAATAAGTATGCAGTTACAATAAAAAGGATATAAAGAAAAAGACTCACAAGATTTTGGCAATGCAATCAGAGGCAGCAGAAAGTTAACGCAGCATGATTAAATGAAAAAAAGGATTTATAGCAATGTAGAAATAAAATATTAGATGGAAACTAAGAGTTAAATGTAGGTTGGTCCTGAAATGCATACTTCATTTTAGGGCTGGTCACTATGAAAATGCATAAAACTTGATCTTGATTTTTTTTTTCCCAAGCTTCAATTAAACAATTCATATTACTTGCCTCAAAAAAAACAGTATTACATCCTACCACCACACATGAATTTATCGGTTCTGATTGAAAGAGTGCACACCAGAGATCTGTAAAGTTTAAAGCATCACATGTTTCCATGCAGCTTTAGAGTCAACACATGAGGACTTCAATCACAACACAGGATGGCACTCACATCAACATAGTTTGGAGGAGAGACTTCGCATTAAGCAGTGTGGGAAAAAAGATAACGTCTACTTGAAGTTTTTGGTGTTTTTTTTTTTTTTTTAAAACATTTTGGATCCCAAATAAACCAACTCTAAGGTCATTCACAGATGAAAACAATCTCTCCTGGCATACCATTGCATTCTGGTTAATTCCATGCAAAGACTTCATAAAGATCCAAAACCTCAACAACAGAATAGCCATGCATTGCAAGCTCACACTATAAACACTTCACAAACATTTACAATTTCTAATTTCCCTCTAATTTGTATGATCTGTTAGAAATCCAAGCATATCAGAATCCTCAAAACTCACTGTGTCCTGTTAGAAACAGAGACCCACAGCCACCTTCAGAGTACAGGTAATGATACTAATTTCCTTTGTAAAGCTTGTGCTATACACTGTATTCTAGCACACACTACATTCTGAAGAGCATTCCAGGGTTAGCTGTAAATAATAGCTGATTTAGTTCCAAAGCATCATAGCAGACTTGCACCTGAATGACAAACTCATGCTCAGTTATGCTATGTTGAAAACAGAAGTGTGCTTGGGTTATTTAACCCCCTCCAGCATGTAACCAGATTGTGTCCTCGTGCACTGCTCAATTTCCATATAGACAGATGGCATTAAAAAAGTAAAACTCACCTTCAGAAAACCTAATGCCAGCTAACCCCACAGATAACAGAAATGCACATAATCCTTCTTCAGTATAAATGATTTATGAGTTTTTGTTTACATTCTGTTCCATTCTGGTTCCTATTCTATGCCTAAAGGTATGACAGCATTTCATGCCTGCTATAGATAGCGTTACATTAGTCACTCCTGCAAGTCCAAGGAGGCAATAGCTGGATTTGGAGCGCCATCTGATGGGAGGTTAGGGATTACAGGAAAACACAAGGGTTCAGAAATAAAGCAGCAACTTCAGTTGTACCCTCTTCTGTAACAAAACAGAGCATCAGACAGTGGCTGCTACTAGAACAGGCTTGCTTTAATTCACTAGTGAAAACATTCCTTGGAGATTTATGCATACCACTATTCCCACAGCACCCTTTCCTGTGGTCCCACCCATTAACACAAGAACTGTTACACTTACAGTCTCAGTCGAGGCTCCACACATCGCACAAAGTAATCAAAATCATCCTCCTCCTCCTCATCCCAGGTCCTCCAGATGCACTCGTAGAAGAACCTTTTGAAGCAAAGTAAGCTTTTAAACACAAAAGAGGCCACATTTAAACAAGCAGAGACAGTGGCACTAAAAATACAGACATAATAGGTTACAGAATGCAAATGAAAACATTCTTTCTCCAATTCCACATCACCCTCCTATAAGCCATTTAGTAGACACAACAGTTGGTTTTTTATATGAAGAGTTTTAATTTGTATTTCTTGGATTAAAATCCATAACAGCCCGAGTCCTTCTGACTTCCATCAAGAGACTGAGCGAGTATAATCTGGATTTAAAAAGAAGACTTGCACAAGATTCTGTGGCTCTCTGATTATTCAGTTTTGGCCAGGCATCTTTCCACTAAGCTCTTCTTCTCCACAAGAAGTTTGCCACCTCTATGATACATGCTCAGGTCTCTGCTACTGAGCAATGGCCAGCAGAAAGAGTCTCTTCTCAGATAAATACACCCCATTTTTGTGTGACTGCCTTCAGCTACCAAAGGCAAACACATTTCCTCTCCCCATAGCCTTCGTGGTACCAGTCATAATATTGAATGTGGAAAGCTAGACACGTGGGGATGCCAGTCTAGCCACAAGAACTCAGGACAGCACACAACCAGAGTGCAATTGCTCAAGACAAGAATTAGCCTTAAAGCAGTTTCCTACCTGACATGCTCCACAGCTAGTGCTGTCTGATCAAACTCTCCCGACTCATCATACACAACCCACAGCTCCTGCAGCGGTATCCGACGCTCCTTCAGCTCCAAGAGTTCCTGCATGCATTCCAACGTAAAGGTGCTAACCTGTGACTCGCACAGGAAAGGCTCACAGAGCTGCACAACTGCCTTCAGATCTGAGTACTCCACATCAACCACCTGTTGGAATGAATAGCTCTTAGAATTTCTCTATGCAGAACCACAGAAACGGCTGAGGAAGGTGCACATGATGTGCACAACCCAGCAGACCTCACTAAGTGCCAGCTGACCCACACAGATCAACACACAGTACGTATTACAGCAATCTGGTCAGACGAAACGATAATCCCAGAAATAAACTCCTAAAAATCAAAAGATCTGGAGTAATCTCTTTGACATTCAAAACCAGGTTCAAAAAAAAAAAATAAAAAATCTCATAACACCTATCCAAGGCCAGTAAATTGCTTCTCAAATTGGTTTTAAAACACAAAAAATAGGATCTTCAGATTCAAACAAATCCATGCCTCACAGTTTTCCTAGACTCTTCTATGGTTCATTCTTCAAAGCATCCACAAGATACAAACCATCCCATGAGTTCATCAGCAAACTATTTTATCACTAATTTTGCTGAAAAGATCAAAAGATGAAGTTCCTCCCTTCTGAAAACATGTAATACAAGTTCCAGCTTGATTAAACATCCCAGGTTTGCACAAATATGAAAGACTCAGATACTGGTAGACCTAAAAAAGAAAGATCCCAAACCTGCAATCCTCCAGCAGGTCTACATGAGCTACTGTTAGTATCAAAGTCGATTAGACAGAAGAATGTTAATGATAGGAAGAACTTAGAAGTGACCACAGCCTGGTGACTGAGAAAACTACCCCAGCAGCCAGCTCTGGACAAAGCACTTATCCCTCCTGTGCCCACCAGGCTTAACCTCACAGTGCACCCATACCAACTTGGACTCCTCCTTGTTTCAAGGATCCCTTTGAGAACGTTGCTTCCTTTTAAGCAGTCCTCCCAAGAAATATTCAGACACTAGAGAGGATCTATGAAACTAACCCATATGGTGTATTTTTGCTACACACAGGGACATCATTCAGGCTTTATATTGCCACTCTGAGGTTCAAAATTATTTGCCCAGTTCTTGAGAAGCTCAAGAAAAGGTAAGTGATTATGCAGTGCTCTAGCACACAGCAAACGAACACTGTACAAATATTTTGCTTTAGCACCGATAAATTTATCTCGCAAATAGCGATCGTGCTCTACTAAAAACCACAGATGACACACTGACCACAGCAACTTTATGGAACTAGATGCAGCTTATTCTCAAGATACCAACACCAGTTTATCCACAATTGTGTCTCGAAAACAAAATTCAACTGTCTCACTGAAAATGCTGTATTTTAAAAGCAGAAGTAAGCTTTAAGTAATAGACAGCTAAATTCCAAGGTTGAACTATGGGATAAAGCAAAATAAATAAATTAATTAATTAATTTAAAAAAAAAAATAGGAAGCCTACCTAGTGCATAATTTTCTGGAGTTGTGACTTGCTGCAGCCCTGAAGAGCTCATTCTGAGCAGCAGTGCCTCACTGCCATAACAGTCCCCAATACAAGTATTTGGATTACAGGTTCCAACCTCAGGCTTTTAGGTATAGATAGCACAGCAGTGTACAAAAATGGTGTTCAAGAATAAGGATTTTTTTGAAACAAATTCCTATTGCTTTAGTCCTCATTGGCAATTACATACAAAAAACCATACTATTTTCTAGCAGTTCATAAATCTCATAGAAAGTGACCTGCCTGTCAGAGAGATAAATGACATTAGTGGGAGACCAATGCCTGAACAACCACATTCCATTTACCTCCACGAGGACCTCAAACACATTAGTGCGCCAAACAGCCTGCCATCCCGACGGCTCAAGGACCTTCTCCAGGTACTCAGCTGTAAATTCCTTCACCTCAGAAGCTTTGCAGTCAGCTAAAATGAAAAGGAAGGCAGTGCATTTATGTAAGAAAATAATGAAAAGTCCTCAGTGAAAAATGAAAAGCACAGAAGGTTTCAGCTGCAATGCTGCTGAGTCTGTGCTTTATCTCAAGGCGTCTCACCACACGCAGAAAAGTTCTAATAACATCAATAAAACCAAGCACAGGGCCCAGCATTAGCGCTTTTCCTTTCACACCTTCACATTTACTCATGTTAAAGCCATTACTTCCTGGGCCCATCAGCTGAGGTGACAGCAGACAGCCCAGCACTGATGGCACACACCCCATCTGTGTTCCAGTCCTCGCTATCAAGAGTGAGCGTTTCAGGCAGAACTGACTCCACTTAGAGCAGAAGTCTTAAGAAACCTTGCCACATACTCTTTCCCTACTAAAATCACTTACCCAAAATGTAATCCTGGTAAGCTTTAAATCGCTCATAAAACAAAAGATGATCCGTGCGAAAAATATCAGGAAAAAGCGCACTCCCATCCGGTACAGTCCTCCCCAGGGCAGTGCCCGGCTTGTCACGGCTTCCATAATCGCTGCAGGTGTCCTCATCCTGCTGGGTGGGAGCTGGGGGAGCAGTGGGAACAAAGCAAACCCCACAGGCCGTCAGGTCCACGCAATCATCGCTCTCTCTTCTATTCCCAAACAACCCCTGCTCGGCCCGAGATCCGTCACACGCCTGCTTTCCCTAACAAATCTCGCAGTGCACCACAAAAACGCTGAAATTCATACACTGAAAATTATAAGGCGATTTTAACCTTCAAGTACTCCTTCAGAAGTGCTACCAAAGATCCCGGCAGGCCGTGCCTGCACTACGCACGCGAATTTATTCCTCAGAGCCCGAATTCCGCAGCCGCGGCAGCAACGCCTCGCGCAAACGGTTGCGCGAACGCACGCGCCGCAGCGGCAGCCGCAGCCCCCGCGCCCCAGGGCGTTCGAACCTCACCTGGCTTCGCCTCCTCGGCGCCCTCCTGCAGCCCAGCGACGCTCCCGCCCGGCAGTCCCGTTCCGGCCATACCGCCCGCTCCGCTACGCTTCAGCCCGCACAAATTTCAAATTCGCCGCGCCGACGTCACGGGCAGCGCCCGCCCCCATTGGCTGCCGGGCGGCGGGCGGGCCGTTGCGCTGCGCTGCGGGGCGGGCCGGCGGTCTGGGCTCACTGGGAGGATCCTGGGCTGAGGAACCGGGCGCAGAGCCATGCTGGAGTCACAAACGCAGATTTCTGCCAATTAAACATGGCTCCTTGGCAGGGAAAGGGCAGGCAGAACGTGCTCGGTAAGCCAGTTCTCATGTCATTGGCAGACATACCAGCAAAATATTGCACAGCCTGGAGGGTAACTTACACAGATGCCAAATTATCCGTGGTAGGAAGTACATCAGGTTTAGGTTGTGCCATTCCCTATTTGGTACAAGTTTGAACACACACCTTCTTTGATAAAAGAGAGAATTTTGTTATCCTGTCTGCATGAACAAATTCACCCTCAAATAGTGGCAAATGAGACTGCCCAGCAGCCTCATGCTCAGCAGCAACACGGCTCGTTCCGTGCTGAAACCTTGCTCCTGCTTACTGTTGTGTCTGCTAGAAGCAGATTGTGTCCTTTTGGAGCAGATTCTACTGTGGCTATTCAGATAAAGACTCTGAAAGTAAAGTTGCCACAGGTCCAGTAAGGTTTAAATTCCAAACAAAGTAAGTAAGGTTAAGCTAAGCAGTTGGAAGATGTTTGTATTTTACAATTGGGTATTTATAATTGGGTATTTAGCAGAGATGAGGCGACTGGACATCACTACAGGAGCTAAGGACAGGCAGCAACTAACAATAGACAAGAAAGGTTAGGATGCTCCAGCAAGAATGTGCAGAGCTCTGTGGGAAGCAGTTCAGAAGGAAAAGATCAATGTCGCAGGTTTGGGACAGAACAGGTTATGTTCCATACAGCATGCTTTGTCACTGCTGGAGCCAGGCATGTAGAATGGTGTTCTGCACAGCTGCTCCTGGACGTGCCACCATTTTTCCTCCAAACAATGGCTATTTAAATTGCTGTTGAGTTTTTTTGTTGTCTTTTGTTTGCTTTTTTTTTAATGCCACAATTGCTTTAAAACAGAAACAGCCACAAGAGGGCTGCCTTAGATCTCAAACAACATGATTAACCTGCTTAGCTTCCAAATGTTAGCATTAAAAAGTATTAATTTGTTCTCTTTTGATATTTCACTGATTTTTAATGGAAGGAACACCATGGTGAAACAAATCCCACGTGTGCAATTCATCCAGGCTGGGGATCAAGATAGCATGCACCTCACAGGCAGCCACATCACAGCAGTCCCTATGCAGGTGGCTTAAACATCAACATCAAAATGCCTTTCTCAAAGACTGCTGTAACACACAACCCTGGCTCAGAGAAGCTGCACGGCTGAGGGCTGCTGAAGACTGCATATGTAAGTCAGCCTGTGACCCCTGCAGAGCAGGGCTGCTGTGCAGTGGGAAATAAATTGCTGGGGGAAATTCTGCTGAGCTGTTGCTTCAGATCTCCAAAGTGCGAGCCTGATGGCTGCCAGTTATTGCAGATAAGAGCAGGCAGTTCCTCAGGTCAGGGCGGCTCTTAATTTTAACTGTGAGGTTATGAAGAAAAAGCATCTGTCCAGAGAAATTGATGTAGGATACAAACTCACCTGATAGTTTGGACCAGAACTTCGTTGTGCGCCACTGACCTCACTGGAGCAGTGTCTGTTCATGCCACCTGGAAATTCATTTCCGAAGTTAAAAACCTAAAGAAAAATAGCAGTGTTTTATCCAGTGCTCCTATCCAAAGAAACATCATCTCTACTTTAACTCACTGCTGGATGAGAAACCCCTCGACCGAAGTTCTCATTTGTGGATATATGCAGATTTCATTTGAAAGCACAGACTGTTTCTACTTTAAGGTTTCTTAAAGCAATATTTTCTTTACCTCTCATTATAAAGCAACCTTAAAATACAAGTATCAAAAGATCAAATTATATTATTACATGTAATGAAAAAAAATGCTTTTTATAAGGCTTGTCAGTCTGAAAATGTCTATCAGATGTGTGTGGGATAAGTGGTTGAGAATCAGCACAGATTCACAGTGATGGGAAAGAAATAATAAAAAGACACAAAATAAAAAAGTCTAAAAAGAATGGTACATAAGGCAGTAAAAAGTCTGCATACATTTCTGTTCTTGACACAAATTCCTTTTGTTACCATGGCAATAATTTAATCTCGTTAGGCTTCCATTTCTCCATCATAAAACTTAGACAATATTTTTTTACTGCATGTGCTTGATTAACTCATTTGTAAACAACTTTTATATCTGGGGATGAACTGTGCCATGTAACTGCAGACTGCTGTTAATTATTTGGGTTATTAGCTATAAAGTATGTTCTTTGACAGGTATTTTATCATTGTAAGCCTAAATAAATCAAATAAAACCAGAAAAGCAATTGAACTTTTGCAAACCTGTATAGCTTCATTGCTTCATCCCCTCAGAAACTCAAATCCAATTCATGGGTTCTTTTAAAGAACTACTTTGGAGCTTCACATGTGAGCTCTCTTCGTCCAAATGTCTACACCTATCAAAGATGGAGCCGTATCACTGCAACCAATATATCTTTGAAAATCAGAAAAATCAGTTGGAAATCATTTGCTTCTATTACTGCTTGACTTTATTAGCAGAGGATGCTTCTGAAGTGCTTTTTCTACTATAATTTAAGCGGTTTTCAGAACCTTCTCAACTCTGGCTTCTTCAGAAATGTACTTCATGGACTTAAAACTGGTCCAACACCTTATTTCTTAAAACCACAGTAATAGCATTACAGGTTTGGATTTTTTGTGTTTATAGACACCTCTTTTCTTGCAATTCACCGGAAGAGTTTCAAGATTTACACTACTTTATCTGCTGCGTGTTGACTTTCTTTTAACCACAAACATGCCTGACATTGCCAAGTGCCTCATTTTCAGAATGAGGGAATTCACTCTAGATAATGACTTTCAGAAATAAGCTACATAATAACACAAAATTCAAGCCCACGCAGATTACTTAACTAAGACTCATCTACAATGGAAGTGCCATCAGCCATGCTCCCTCAGCACTGGACAGGCCATCTCTCCAGACAGACACATTGCTCCCTGAAGAAAGGCCAGAAAAGAGCTAAGTCCCTTTTGCAGATGTTGCAGTGCTGTCCCAAAGAACTCGGTAGATTGAGCGCTGCAAGGTGTTCTTCAACTGACTGCAAAGATGCAACAGGGACAAAACCCATAATAAACTATTTTCTTTCTTTAGACGTGGACAGCAGGCAGACAGATTTTCCAACAAACGTTAAAACTGAAGTTGAATGTTGATGGGAATAATGAATTTGGGCAAAATGGAAATTGCCAAGAGGATTCATCCTTATGACTAATACTACAATAATTATTTATCAGCCATTTTGCACCGCACAACACTATGAAAGCTATATTTTGCCATATTACCGTCATTTTCCATTGGCATTCATAAGAACAGGCATCACTGCTGACAGTGACCACTCAACTTTCTGCACCCAGAGAGCTGCTGACCACATCTTAGAAATAATAGGAAAGAAGCAGTGATTAAGATAAGGATGAAATCACAATTACTGCAGATGCAGAATGCAACAAATCATTGGGCATACTCACATCAGGAAGATGGCAAGCTTGAAAAGAATGAAAATTGCTGACAGTGTTGGTTTCGTATGATCACTGCACCTCCTCATTCACTGCAAACAAAACAAAATAAGTTTACTAAAGATGCAAAAGAACACAGCTGTTGGTGATGGGACATTATGTTGCTGTGACCAATGCTTCATTTCAGTTCAAATTTTGAACATGGCTGTTTAGAAATTGTCCTCCTGTGATTCTGTTGTATTTCAAGTGCTTTAAGTTCTTTTTTCCCTGTAGTACAGCTGTGTCCCTATCTTGACGATGAAAGCAGAGTAACGATGGCTCTTGGGTCTTAAAAATTAGCTACTGAAGTGTGTTGGAAAAGAGATCAATTAGCATGAAGTGATTTCTGACAAACACTTGTCAGTGGGCTTACGATTATGTCTTAGCAGATGGTAGTTTGAAAGGCTGGAGCTATGTGAAGCGTGCTACTTCAGCTGATAGAACAGCAATAGGCAGCCAGTTTGCTTTGGATGTGGTAAAGCAAAACTAAAGCACAGTGACATCAGACTTTTCTAGATGCTTTTCTGTAGTTGACTTCATTTTCCGTGCTTTCAATCTCCTTAGCAATTTGTGTGCAATTACAACAATTTCACTAAATACTGCTGAAATGTATATGCTTATGTGAAATTACAACACAACATGTAACTGCACATATGCTCAAATGATAAAGTCAACTCTTCCTGTAGTGGAATTCCTAAAATATTTTGAAGTTTTAAAGGTATGTTTAAGCCCTGTCAGGAAAAACATTTCCTACAGAAAACACGTTTTCTGCTCAGTACAGCAGATACTGGAATATCCTCTGTGGTGGCTTTCTAAAACAACAGAATATGTGGCCCAGTCTTTCCTAATGACTGCAATCTACCCATCTAGATAAAATTGGCAAGAATGTTATTTCTTGTAGGTTGGATGGCACATATGTTTGGAGGCAGTTGGATTCATATGTGCACACAGCTCCAGAACTCCTCCAAAATGCTCATAACAAATTCCTTTAATGAAAGCCTTCATTTTCTGTGGTTATCAGAGCTTGTTCAGGATAGGTACCCTGTTTGTTTGTTTGTTTGTTTTGTTTTGTTTCTAAGTAAACGCAATACAAGATGCATCCTCTGGGAGAAGCAATTTATGCATTGGATCATAATCAATTAACACAACAGCTTGAATCAAAAAAAGAAGCTTTTTTTTTTCCCCCAAAAAAAGATCAGAATTTATTTTGGTTATCATGGAATCATAGAACCATCCAGGTTGAAAAGACCACTAAAGTCACCTCGCCCAGCCACCAGCCTATGCCAGCGACTGCTCCCAACCACGCCACTCAGTGCAGCATCCAATTTCTTCTTCAACA